TGGTTAAAGTATCAAATTTCTTTTGGAGATTCTCAGCTTGTATCGCGTTGTCTTTTTGGAAACATGTAGAGTTGTTGCTCTTTGGAGGGGTGGGGGTGTTGCTTTGCTTGCTCTTTGGAGGGGTGTTGTTTTGCTTGCTCTTTGGAGGGGTGGGAGTGTTGCTTTGCTTGCTCTTTGGAGGGGTGTTGTTTTGCTTGCTCTTTGGAGGGGTGTTGTTTTGCTTGCTCTTTGGAGGGGTGTTGTTTTGCTTGCTCTTTGGAAGGTTGGTGTTTTGCTTGCTATTTGGAGATTTGGTGGTTTGTGGAGCTGGAGCTGCGATGACGAGAACAGCTAAGGAAGCAATCAAAACCAAAAGTCCAAAAAGATAAGATCTCATTTTCGAAAAATAAAGAAGGATAATGATAATGGAAAATATATATAATATTTTTTGAGATTAGTTTGTTAAAGAAAATATTGTGTTTCCAGAACACTAGAATTTATTATTTCAAAAGAACTTGCTTTTTTGTCTGAAGGTGACCAAAGAATTCTGACGGCCATTTTATATAAAAAATTGGTTAACAAATTTTTTAACTTGAGAATTATGCGGCAAGGTATTAATTTGTACGGATAAAACTTGAGCGCAGAAAATACATATTTTTGTTCTACACAAATATTTATTTTTAGATCATAATTCATCCGGCGTAATTTTGGTTTCAATATCGAAGATTTTTTTTTTTTTAAGTCATTGTATTTTCGAGCGTAAAATACTTGAATCATTGTTTAGACTTAATTACTTGGCGTAGATTGTTTCATTTTCTTTTTACGACCTTGGATCCGGTCAAAGGGATTTTCGAAGGGTCACATTGCATGTTTCGAGATTTGTATGTTTGAAACAGTACATTTTGTTTATCAAAATAAGAAATACAATTATTATCAGTTTTCATATCAGATATCGATATACGGTGGATCGGTCCCTAAGCATAAGTAATTGAAAAACATATTGTGTTGATGTACAACTCGACTATACAAGATTAGAAAACAGGATAACTCAATGGTCCTTAATTTTTTTTCCCTAATTTTTTGTGTTTGAAACTTTTAGAAGTCAAATTTGCCAAATTAAATCTCATAACTGATACGTAATAAACTTTAATTATACTTATTGCATATCGATATATTATATAAACCAAATATATAAAATTGATATTCTATGCAGGTTTTTTAATTCTATATGCAACAAATGTTTCGGTTATGTCCTTGTGCATTTTTGTTATCCAATAATACATTTATCAATTATCGTTATTTACAGCTTAAAAACTAACCAATTAGAATTTTTACGAATTTTTATTAGAATTTTGCCCAAATTTTAACGCTAATACATAAGTCGATTGACCAATCAGATCACATTAAACAAATCATTACATCTGACGTTTTATATTAAGTCTTCTTGCTATTTCTGTATTTACAATACGTACGTATTAATAATTGAATTTCTTTTGTTCAAAACTGTATCCTTACTATAATTGTCAGTATCGTTAATTTAATCTAATAAAGTATTATTAACAAATTTGGTTAATTGGTTCTATAAATATATTAATAAATCTCTTAAAAAAAAATTTTTTTAAAAAAAATTCAAGAGTAAATAAAATGATTTTAATTTTAATTTTTATTTTAAAACCCAGATTTAACAGTTCACATTTTATCGATCTAGAAAATTGATCTTACTAATTAAATTTCATGTTTATGATTTTAATCCACTAGGATGCTTGCAAACGTCCGGATGTTATCAACAAAAATAGAAAAATTTGATAATTAATTTATTTTATTTTCGCGAATAACAGGCACCCTAAAAATAACATGTTTCAAGATAAAGTTCTCAAATCATGTGCAC